GTCGAACAATATCGGTGAAAGAGGAGAGCTTTGTCTAACTCCAGTGATAAGTGAAAATTTAAAAGGTTCTTCGTCATACATGCGGACCACCGCACCGTAATCAGGTAGTGCTGCCTCATGAGCCTTTATATTTTATCAAGCACCCCATCAGCTTTTATTGTAGCCCCAGGACTGTCCGAATAGAAGGCGGTTAGAAAGTCGATGAAACAGGCAACCGTTGGCTGCTGGAACTTATAGTGCTGTACCAGCATTCGGCATAGAGTAAATATTTAGTTCAGACAGACTTTATCACGGGGAAACCCCTTTTATTCGGACACGTGCATCGATCTCTTGCAGCACAGAAGCGGTAACCTCGAACAGACATATCGTTCGGTACTTCTCCCACCGATTTATTGCCTTCAACAGGAATGGACCTGTTAGACAGCGACGGTAAACAGTTCATAGAGTTCATGACGGGTGTAATTCTCCCTGGCCACGTACTGGGATTTTTAGTTGGCTAATGACGGTAGTAATTCCAGTTACTCTCGGTGACATTTGGTGACAATCGGAAGCAAGCTTGTCTCACATTGGTCTGTACCATCGTTTCTCAGATAGCAACGCGAAAATTACACGCACTTTTTGACGAGTTTTTAAGAGAGCCAAACAGCCGTTTAGTGCACTTCGTTGACATTCACGCGAAGTATTCGCTGAAAATGAAATCATTTTCACATCTGCCTGATAACCATGTTGCATAGTTGGCAATGATGGTACCAGCCGTTGGACATGGAGCAGAATTATTGACCCCATTAGTACACTTACTGGTTGATAGCCCGAGCCACATCCCCGGCCGTGCAAGCGAGCACGCTCATATCCTCGATTTTGTTCTCACATCTAATGGATATTTTTCCAAAATTGTCACAGTGGCTCCGGTGGGCTTGTAGAACCAGTTTCGATTGGCTTCTGCCCAAGTTATGCGTTCCACTACTCCTCACAATTCCAGACGCACACTCCGGTGATACGGTTCCTCTGATTCGTGTAACTCTCGTAAATTCTGACTTCTCCCGACCCCCAGGAATGACTGATTTTAGTTTCAAAATTTTCTTAAATTCTTTTACAAGGCATGCAAGCATTTGCTCCTCATTTCTTCAAGCCCGACAAGCCTTTTTCTCCAGAATGGGTTAGCCAAGCTGTTCGTAAGACGAAATCAGCCTTAGTCGTTGGCGCCATTCACCAAAAGCAGTACAAGTGTGTTACACTCACCCTTCGCTCCAACTAATAATATTCTTATCATTAAACACAATCAACAAACTAGTTCTAGCTCGAATGTATCCTTGACCTTACCATGTATTGTATACCCTCGGATTATGTGGTTTACTCTCTCTACCGTATCTACTTGTGTAATAAAACAATAATTTGGGTAAAGTAAGGGGGGTTGGCCTCGTGGACGCAGTAATATCCTGCTTAGAGTATGCACGCGATTTTAACTGCACGATCAACACGATGGCGGTGCATAACACGTCGTTAAAGTAGGGATGCATTCGTGGGAACCTTTAAAAACTCAAGGTTGGTAAAGTTAAGTGTCCGTCAATCGAAATTCAATGGCGGCACTCGCGCGTTGAGCCTCAAGGACCCTAACGGACCAGTAAAGCTGGGTTAAACTTTCAACGTTGCCGTAAATGTGTGGATCAGAACAGCGTATCATAGAAAAAGAACAGCGCATGGCATGTTAGAAGACTAAATGTTCAAAGGCATTCAAATTGATTCTACTTGTACTCACCTTGGGGCATCATACGTTGCCACTTCTGGAAGAGAGTCGTCTTCAGACAATCCCGCGGTGTGAGGCTGTATGCTTTCTGTCGGGACATCAACTCTTGCATTGGTTCCAATATGACACATAATCGGAAGAAGTTGAGGGTTGCACTAGTCATACCGTACCAGGTCGAATTTTTAGAAATTTGTTCCAGAAACGCTGGATCCTGCAAAAAATCAATAAGACAGAATGAGCGTAGAAATAAACTAGTTGCGTGTTACCAAAATGGGATAATATAAGGAGGCAATACAAATATGAGAAGATCAGTGTTATCGTTGTGGTCCCGCAGCTCAGTTAGTAGGGTGTGTTGTACAAAAGTTCAGGCATCGTCCATGCGTGGGTTCAAATCCCACCGAAGCTACTGGAATTTTCACAAATCAAACAATGAAATATGCATCAGTATCCCTAAGACCTCAAAATACTCATGATCAAAAATGTACAATTTGGAATGTTTCGCTATCCTTATCAGTTTGTAATTTCTACAACCATGAAAACTAGATCCACTACTCTTTGGTCGAACCTACCTAACAACTATGGTGGTGGTCTTCGGCTTTCAATCACTGATTGTACATGTAGAACTAAAACTGGGATTTTATTCGTACCCCATCCTGGACGGGAGACACCTACTTTCCCTAATCTCGGTGTACTTCGCATGCCTCATTTGCACGTCATCTGATAGCCTGTGATTTTCTAGTCAGGAGCGCACATAGCACGCCGGGTATGCACAAAACGAGTTTTGAGTTCGGTGACAAAGAATTCTCCGTTGAATCACTACCAAATACATAGCGGCATACTTTAGGTTTACTAAATCACTTGTTCCATCATACCTGTGACAAACTACGTTATCATCGACAATCCAAAAGTTGGGATCCAGACACTAAGATCGTTGCACAGCAATGAGCTTGCTCAAAAGCCCTCACAATTTTACTTTCGAAGAAACGGTCCAACAACTCTGACACCTGTGGTGAAAAGGTGTCTCTGTTCAATATTTGGTATTACTGCCTTAAGTTAGTGAAAAGCGATGCAGATGGGTATCTGACACGCGCCAGCATTGTGAACCGGGAGTGCGAGAAATTCCAATTGCCTGTGCCTGATGTTCGTATGCGCACTCAGTGTTTAACCAGTAAGGTCAACCAACCAAAAGCTAGGGTTGATAAAACCGAAATCTCCGTTTCGTTTGGCTGCATTCAATGTCGTACATAATCAGATTGGTCAACAGCTGACTTAGGTAATACCTTTCAAATTTTCGGTTTTAAACGTGTTGTCTTCAAAGCACGCATATAAGATCCCATTTTAATTATCTCCTTTCGTCCTCTAGATTCAACCTCATCCTCAAGCTTCACTCTCCGTACGTCAGGCGTTCCGGCATCCAAAGCCCGCGGTGTGATGATTGCGCCAAGTGCTGAGCGCTCGCTTCTTGACTGAATTCGTCAGGAGTCGACTGTGCGCTGTACGTCTCGACGGTTCGGTACGCGTCAACAGCTACGGAACGAAACGTTCGCGCATATTTGTCGTGTCCGTGTATGCACCAACCGAGTGGAGAGCATCCGAAATCGAGGATGAATTCTACGACGATCTTTCTCAACTGCTCCGAAGCATTCGGTTCACCGACATTGTAGTAGCAGCTGAAGAATTCAATTCCCGAATCAGATAACTAGACAAATCAGGTGCCAGGCGGCCCACACGCAATACCATGCACCACACGCACAACGGAAATCGTCTACTTTAACTTGGCGCGTACCACGGATTATTCGCAAAAAGCGCCAATTTCTCGCTGAAATGTTCACAGCCATGAACTCAAATCGACCAAATCACTATTAGTAACCGCTGGCGAAAATTCATCGAAGATTGCTTAAGGCACAACATCCGGGAACGAAGGCTACGCTTCGTTACGAGCCAGATTCTCGATATGCCAGGTAAATAACCGCAAAATAGCCCACAATACCATGCCAGTGGCAGTTGCCCACGGGTCTCCGAAACAAAACTCTCCGGCCGCCTCTCAGTTTAACCGAGCACCGAAGGACCCAAGGAACACTAGATCATCAAGGCCACCATCCAACTGTCTATCAAAACAAACGCGGATTCTGGCGCGCGTGATCAAAACACAAGGGACCTCGACCTCGGCGGCCCTGCTGGAAGCCTGCAGAACTATTCCTCCAGATGATAGCGCGCAAATCCCTTAAACACCGGCTCATCAAAAGTCTGAGGAATGATGGCGAGAAACGATGGGCAGGAAAGGGTAGAGATGGAAAAGACGGCGATTATCGATGATAACCCAATCTACAACTTGATTAGAAATACGGGTCCCGGGAAAATAGGCGTGAAGTGATTGAGTTTGACGGCAGTGATTCGCCATCAGCAACACAGTGTTGAACAATGAGTTGAACATTAGGAAACTCTGTTCACCTTCTATCCCAATCGACATTAACCCTGATAACCCTTATATCAGCTGGGTAACTAATGCCGATTGATGTAAGTCCTCCATCCGAAACGGAGGTTTCCCGGAAATAAGTCATCTGAAAAAGAATAAAACCTCCGACCGAGATGGTTTGTTCCTATCGGTTTTCAAGGGTGGAGGTTTAGTGTTGTAGAAAATCCTGGACTCAATACGGGGGAGGGAACAACTTCCAACTGAACGGTGTGAATCGACCACTGCCGATTTACCAAATGAGATCATCCTGTGAGAACCACAGAGGAATTGGCTCGATCAACATGGTCTCGAAACTTCTTGCTGGCATAATACTTCATCGTTTGTCCGCCGCAAGTAAACAGAGTTTGAACAAGGCTGGTTTTAGACTTCGTTGAGGTTGTATCGACCACACTCTGTTAAATCCTAGAACACAGACACTCCTATTGTAGACCCACCGTTTCTGTCTTCCTCGCTTTGAAAGCGAATTTCGACTCAGTCTGGCGCTGTCTCTCTTTGAAGGGTGTATCCGAGAAGATTATTTCAATTTTGCGATCTCCCTATACAAATAGCCGAAGCTCAGTCTGAGCTTAGGGCACTTTTCACCACAAAAGTGGTAGTCGTTAGGGTCGCCTTCTCTCTTTTTCTATTTAACCTTGTTATAGTTTTCCTTATGGAAGCAGCATTATCCTCGTGAGAGAAGTGGTATCAGGTTACTCCCGGGTAACAGACTGCCTGATCTGGTGTATACAGACCACACTGTACTGCTCAGTTGAAACCGTTTCTAGATAGTTTGAGCGCTAGTGTTCGACACGCATTTTGCACCCTGAAAGTGTAAAATGCTGTCACATGAGTGGGTTGGTCCAGCTCCCAACCTCAATGTAACTGGAGAAATAACAGAGGTAGTGAACAAAGTTTTCTATTTCAGCAGGTGGACGCATCACATATGAAGTGTCGGTACGCACACAAAAGACTAGGTTGAAATTGTCCAATTTGAGGCTTCTTTGGTGCCGTCGCGATACCCGGCTGTCTGTGAGGGATCAGGGATATGATGCCGCAGTTAGGCCAGTCCTGGTCTACGGTACAGAAACTTGGCTATTACGAAAAAATGAAAATGGACTGCCGCTGTTTAAATACCGTTGTCTACGTCACATTGCACGAATCTGGTGGGACAACCGAACGAACAATGCTGAGGTTAGGCGCAGAGTTTTAGTCAATCGCGGTCGCCCACTGGAGCAAGCCTTTCGATAACTTGTGCAACTTAAACGGATGGAATTGTGCAGACTGAAAATTTAGAATAAAATGTGTTGTATGTTAATCGTGTAAACGCACGGGTTTGACACTCCGACATATTATCTGATTTGTTCAACTGTTGATTTAAGTGGTTGTAAGGAACCTGAAAGTCTTTAATGATGTACCTGAGATACTCGAATGGTCTCCTTCGGATCTATCATGTGAGATCGTAAGCTGGCTACTCTAGGCCTTCTTTTGGCCTCTGCCTGATTCGGCAAACATCATAATGAACCTGTTGATATTCCACCCATTAGAAGAACCCTACCAATGATCGAAGATTAACAAAAACGAGCACAGTGATGCATCTACATCTTAGGGCTTTGAATGTTAGAGTGCAGCTCAGTATTACATTTTATTTTTTTGCGAAAAACCAGGCACCCTTGTGCAACGTTCTTTTAATGGTGACAGTTCACCAATCAGCGGTAGTTTGATAGGAAAATTGACAGTAAAATTTATGTCCAACGATGCACACGGCGCAACGGTACAAACAAAAACAAATAACACGATCAACCTAAATTCACGATGTACTCACCTGGATTCCGAGCATAGATCGCATGATCATTTCCCGATGAGAGCGTATATGGAAATACCAGGAACGGATTCGCATTAGTTCGTCGAAGGTGAATTCTAACGTGAATCGACCTTCCACAACGATGGTTGCCGGAATTGAACGGACCATATTCATAGTCATGGTTGCGGACTCCGAATTGAGTGTCAAACTTGGATGATGGAAGTACTCGTGGTTCAATCGAAGGTTATAGTACAATTCGCCGCAACCACTTTCAAATATACTGCGAAAGTAACGGGGAATAAGTGCCCTGCCAATGGCTAAAAAGTGGATTAGAAACATGCTGATGCTCACTGTAACGCTTGGGACCATCTTCAGTTATAAAGCCCAGAGTCAGAGTGGCGTCATCCTCGAAGAAATCAGTGACAAACGAGTCCCACCAAACGCTATCACAGTCCTAGTTGTAATGGTATTAATTGGACCAATGAACTTACATCAAGACGTTGTTGCAGACGCTTGTTCATCTCGAAGATACGCAGCTCCGGTTGTCCAATGAAATGTGAGAGACGGTTACTAGAAATGACAGTGAAAAAAGAGTAATCACTACCGTTTCTATCACACTAACAATAAGCAAAGTAGATATTATGGACAACCACGACACTCATGGCTGAGTACCAAGCATTACCTTCAAGAAAAAAGCGTTCTACACGGAGTTAGTTCGGCCCAAAAACTTCGACCAAATAAAATAGCACATCCATGTTAAAACTGATGTTTACTTTATATGAACGTCCCAAAAAGGTGGATAAACAGAATCACCAATGAAATTACACACACCCTCGATAAACCGTATGTAAATGCCAAGATTGCCAGCTTTATATGAAATCGCCTTGCAAATGAGACGTGAGCTAAAAAAAGTAGGAAACAATGGACAGTTGTTTGGACCTGGTTTGATCTCATCAGGAGTGTGAATCCTTTGACCCGAACAGGGATCGAACCCGGCCACCGAGCAGCAGATCAGACCGTTTCTCATTTGGCACATACACGATCTAGAAGAATTTATCTTTGCAAGTTTTTAGTGGGAATCAGATTCCACTTATCTTAGCACCCGGTATATTCAAAATGAGAAGCGGTCCGATCAGCTGCTCGGTGGTCGAGTGGGTACCTCTGGGGTCCCGGGTTGGGTCGATGGATTCGCACCGGGGCGGTGGTGGCCCGGTGGTAACGTCGCCAATTACCAACCCGGAGGACGTGTTCGATTCCCACCATCGCCTGTCTTTCCCCATTGTGTTGTATGGCAGCCCTATGATTGACTGTTTCCCCCTTCCTGAAGACTGTACCTTGATTTACTCAATAAAAAGAGGTGAAAATGAAAAATAATATGAAATGCTGATGAGACCTAGCCAGGCCGAAAGTTGTCCGGTGCTTCCCCGGTTGTCAGCTCACACCTCATTTACACGAATAAATTTACTATTCAAATCAAATCCTCCAATTCTCTCATTATCAGTTTTGCAGTGATTCGTGATGTTGATGAGCTCATAGTATAAGCCGAGAAACACCTGAACGAGATCTGTTACGATACCATGGGTAAACTTCAATCAGTGAGAATACCAGAGTGTGATTGTCTACTGAAAATCTCTCGTTCCGGCAGCACTCCAATCGAATTAACCCTGCCATTGTCACTTAACTTCAATAGCTTTGCTGTTGCTCAGCTTCATCCCACATATTATCTAGTTCGGGGCTCGCATCATTATCTACTCCAAGCCCCAATGTGCTGACTTTCACGAGTAGTGACCTTAGTCTGCAGAAGTTTTCCATTTTCACTTTGATACTGCTTTTAACTTTTCAATTTCACTTCGACCCCTGCATCGAAATGGGCAGCCAGACGACAGTAACCATAAACGGCGTGCAAATGTGCATGGTTATTGGTTATACCAACTGAACCGAACTCAGACACTTATGAAAAGTAAGCCATTGGAGCCGAAAAATTTAAAGCGCTGTTTCAACTACCTGGACGTGAACAAGACTTTATTTTAGTCCCAAGATGTGCTCTTGTGGTGTGCGTGTACTTGTTGAGGGGCTTTGAGCTACTGTAGTGAGACAGGTAGTGGGTGAAAGAAACTCAAGGGTGGTCAAGCTAAGACCTGGAATGAGGGTATGAAAACCCTTACCAGGAGTCCGGGTCACATAGGTTCCGTTAGGTTCCCTGGATGAGGACTTCGGGATGATGGTCACCAATGGTCAGACACTGAGTGATATGGCTGGGTGTCGTAAACAATGCATCTTATCGACTTATATGCAAAATTTGTGCAACGAAATCCTAAACTTTTTCTTCGATCCTACTTTCAACTTTTCCTGTTCATCCAAATGAGTAACCAAAAGACAGCAACCAAAACCNTACCGGCGCACGATAGCGGATGGTTAGTGGTTGTACAAACTGAAACAGTAGTGAGGCGAATGTTTTACTAAAGAGGACTCTAGGCTAACAATTGGACTGAACGTGAGTTAATGAGCTGGTTTATCTATAAAATAGGGGGTTAGAGACACTGAGGGGTGGGGTTGAGTGTGGGAAACAGTGGCGCTCATGCATCTACTCATCATTCTTGAAAACTTTATTCCATGCGAATTTTCTAGATTCTCTTTGACCCTGCTCGCGAAATTCCACTCTTCCTTCTACTCTTTTATTCAAATGGGCAATAATGCGAGTGGTAGTGGCGCAGTGGTTTAGTCTGTCATCAGCGTGCTTTGGGTCCTATGGTCCGGGCTCCACCACCGCCACTCAATTTTGATGGCAGACAACTATGAGGTGTTTTGGTTCAATACGAAGGGGGGCATGTATGCCCCGCCATCCCAGTTCTCGGGGCTTAGGTTACCGGTCTTCAACACTGAAAAGCAAGTCTTCGTGACTATACAGTACACCCCGTCTGCTGCTCGTCACAAAATGTGTAATAAAAAAGTAACTGGAGCACAAAAGTATACGGTTAATGCAAAAACTGAAACTAGGACTCGTCTATAGGAAGTGAATAAAAACCCCGATTGCATTTATCAAGGGCATATGAACTAGCTTCAAAACGAATCGGTCGTGATGGGCATCGGTTTGATTGAGCGATGTGTGAACCGATACATGAGGGGATATAAAATAATATAAATTAAAAAAACCCTATTTTTTCGATCAGACTCAGGCAAATCGAAGGTTTCGATTGCGAACATCTAAGGAAATCACTTCAACATATACAAAGCCCTTGCCACTTATCGTCGGGATAGCTAGCCGCAATCTGAGACATGCATACAACCGGTTTAACCCCTCTCAGGAACCAACCGCAGTAAAGTAAGGAGCTAATGAAATCACTTGCCTCGGTTCAATTAGTGTTCTGTTTATGAAAATTACGAGAACGTGAATTGTGGATTACTCTTTTT